CTTCAAAAATTATTTTTTTATAAGCAGTCTTACTAATCTTGGTATATTACCAGCCTGAAGGAAACTTTAATCTATATACTAGTCTAATTTTTCTTTCTTTGTTTTAACCTAAAACTGTTACCTGATATTCTCGATAAAGTCCACACATTCTAAACCGAAAACATAGTCTTCCACACATTCTAAATGGGAAATCCCACATTCTAAACGGCAAATACATTCTTACATAACCTGCGGGTTTCATTTACATTATTGAATTATTAGATGGCTCCCCAGAAATTTTTTTTCTCAAAGAGAAAAAAACGTTACCTTTCACAGCTTTCTCTCAAATTTAATTTATATTCGTGTCTAATCTCTATTCTTCGCTTTAATCTGGGACTGTTATTTATAAATAAATTAAACTTATGTACTCTATTCTTTCTTTAAGGCTCCCTTAAATCAGCCTTTGATATTATTCTCTTATTTTTCAATTATAGTAAAAAAATTTAGATCCCCAACCATCATCTTCTGGTTTTAATTTTATAAATGAGAGCCGCTTTCAAAATTTTTTGCGAAATAAATAAACAAATCGTTTATAAATTGACCGAAAATGCGAGCTAGAATTTAAATCTGTCCCAATAAATTCTAAATTTGAAAATTTTCAAAAAATTTGTAAAAATATAGAAAGAAAACAAAAAATCTTCGTTTAAATAATTGATTTCGAAATCCCAAAAAATATTTTTTACTTATTGGAAGAGCAAAAATCTGATCTCTTTTACTGCGTTATCTTTTAAAAATCTTTCTTATTTTTCTTTAATTTTTATAAGTAATGAATTTCATAATAGCTAACATAAGTTTTTAACTTATTATTATTAAATATGTAGCAATCAAAAAGACTATAACCTCTGCGGAGACCACAAAATATAAAAAGATTCGAGACAGTTTTTAAGACAAATTAGAAACCAAAATTTTAAAGCGATCAATTTCATTTTTTGGTTTTAATTCTTGGTTTTAATTCTTTTTAATTCTCTCTTTAATTTTTGGTTAAAAAACCTCTTTAGAAAACATTTAAAGTTTTTTTCCTTCTTTTTAATTGCCTATATCTCCTTCATTTTTCCAAAATCGAAAATATTTCAAAAATTTTCAGGAAAAATTACAATTTTTTCTAGAACAAAGTCCATAAAAAATCTACTTTATTACACATTTCCAAGAAATTTATTATTTATTTTTCTATTATTTCAAAATGTTTCCCACAGGAATTATTACTATAAGCCACAATAATCTCTTCGCAGTGATCGGAAGTCAATTTTACAATAAAATTTTCTTCCTTTTCATTTTAATGTGAACAATTCCCATATAATAAAAAAAATCATATTACTTTTACAAACATTTATTAATCGTACTTTCATAAATAAAAGATTAGTCATTGGGAAAGCTGGAACAAAAAAAGCTGATATCTTTGCATCTTAATCTCATTTATATCCTTCTCCTCATTAATACTTTCATCATTGTGGTTTTTTTTCAAATATTAATTTATTATTTTAATTATTTTATATTATTTATTTTTATTTTTCAGGTTTAAAATTATTATTAATTCCAATCTCGAATAATTCAATGTCTTTTCTTTCTAATGAGGAAAGATCCTCACAATCTTCAAAAAACGATAATACAATCAAAACTCCTGCGGGAGCCATTAATGAATTAAAGAAAAATCCTGAGGGATTCCATTATATTGGTATGCTCACGACAGAAAACGTTCCTACATTCACAATTTTCTCAGGGAATTCGGTAATTGAGTTTGTACGATGGGCCAGGAAGGTCAAAGATATAATCGAATGCAATGGTAAGTGGGATGAAACAGACAAAATTGCCCGTTTCAAAGTATGCTTAGACGGCAAGGCAAGAAAAATATTTGACAAAATACCCCAAGCTGAAAAAGCAACTCTTGAGGGAGCCATTAACAAAATCAAAGTAAATTTAGATACAACACAAAATCGTGAGCTAATCTTCAAAGCTCTAAGCATATGCAAACAGAATGAAGGAGAATCAGTAGATCAATTTGCTTCCAGATTAATTCCTATGATAGAAGCAACTTCTACAGACCACATAGGAAATTCGGAAGAAGTGCTTTGTCGAACCTTCCTAGAAAAGCTTAGCCCAAATCTTCAATTTCTCACAAGAACACTGACTGGGCCTAACAGGACGAACTTCGACACACTACTCCTAAATGCTCAAGAGGCAGAACTAATGTTATGCGCAAACTCAAATCCAATGCTCAGTCCTTTATGCCTAATCAATGATTAAAGCACTTCATTGAGGGCAAACACAAACGACGAATTAAATGAAAATAGTTACAATAAAACCCTGTGGGGTTCACGCAAATTAAAAGGTGAAACAACCAAACAATATAACAACAAACCAATTTGCAACTATTGTGACCAGGTAGGTCATTTCGAGATCAATTGTAGGAAACGACAGAAACAGCAAGAATATCCAACACTAGAAGAAGTCGTCGAAGAACAACTCATCATCAATGAAATGCTTAAAGAACAAGGTGAAATATTAAACGCCCTTGTCAGCAAAATCAATGAACTAACAACAAACCACTGAGGTGGATATGGTAAATATGTGATAAACGTATATTAGCCACTAGTTTCAAAATTTTGAAACCCTTGGAACAAAAAAAGCTAGAATGGGTTTTCAAAAGGCCAAAAATCTTTAAAGTTCTGCTGCGCTAGGCATAAATTTAAAAAAAATAGATTAATACGTTTCAGATATCCACAATCTGATTATAAAACCCCGAGGGATTCAATTAAATAATAATTAAAATTAAATGAACTCAAATAATACGATGCGCTATACTTGTTGCATGCGTCTGACTATTTTAAATTATTTCATTTACTTAAAAATGAAATCAAAACAAAAAAAGACTAGCTAATTTCACAAAATTGTCCTTTTTATCATATAAATGCTCCATCTCAACAGAAACTATATTAGCTTTCTGTTTCGCCCTCTACAAAAATTTTCGTTTTAAATCTTTCAATCCTGCTCTGCATCTAGCGCTTTAAAATTTTAGCGTGCAGCAGGATTTCTTAATATAAACCCTGAGGGGTTCATTAAAGATAAATAAAATAAAAAGCTGACCAAAACAACAACTGAAAAATCTATCAAAAAAGAAAGAAATACTAATAGAAAATCTTGACTCCTTAAGATCAGAACTTCTGTACCATTCCTACAGTATCAAACTCCATCAATAATGAAATAAGTCGTATAATTTGTAACTCCACAAATTTTTCAATAACGCTAAAATAACGCAAATGCTTAGCGAGTGAAAACGAAAAACATACTACAGAACAGATCCAAATAGTTATTGAATGATCGCCAAAAAAATTAATGTCCTGCGGGACTCACTAATGAAAACTAGATTTGAAGTAGATCCAATATTCAAAAATTATTCTGCCAAATCCTCAGTATCAAGGGAAAATCTCAATAATATGGAAATCTTTGCAGAAAATTTTATGATATATTCAGTAAAATTCATATGATTTAAGGTCTTATACATCGAGTGAGCACAAGGAATATCAATTATATCATTCCTCTCCTACAGTTTTACTTAATATTTTCGCGCTTCATAATCTCGTTAAATTAAAATAAAATTTTTTCGCTCATGATGCAAAATAAATAAGTCCTGCGGGATTCTCACATGTAACAAAAAACGAATGAGTAATTAATTAATTATGTAACTAATCATACAAAGAAATTAAATCCTGAGGGATTCATTCAAGTAATATAAAACAAAACAAAAAGTGGACCAGGGACGGTCCATTGGAAGGTTAGAGGTGTAGAGGATGATCAAATCTTAACGACCAGGGACGGTCTATTGGAAGGTTAGAGGTGTAAGGCCGCGTTCATCCTGAAATCACGTGAACAATAATGTTGCTCTAAACTTTGTGCTAAGTAACGGAAGTTCCCAGAGAAAAGGCAAAGAACGCCACAAACGGCCATTCCCAGAGAGTTATTAACCGCCCATTATCTAAGCTTAACATCGCCACTAACTTATCCTTGGGAAAGCAATAAGGAAATAAGCTGGTGCATATAAGCTCTAATGGAATAGGCAAAGGCAGATCACTTCTTCATTCATTCAACAGAGTTGCCGGCCGGCCAATCCATCGAGTCTTATAGGGAAGAGCTCTCCCTATATTCCCCCACTGCGTGTAATTCACCTATTTCTATACTCTGCGGAGTTCACACATGATTGCAAGCATGCGCGACTCTGCCTATAACAACGACTAAACAACAAGGCACTGGGTAACGGGACCAACCGCTTTACTATACTTTGCTGGTATTACAATTTTGCTTTCTTTTTTTGTTTTTACCTGTAGATAAAATTGAGCGCTGATATTCCCCGTTAACATTAATAATTCCAAAAACACTTTGATCGTATCTATGACAAGTACCAACAGTGCTATAATCTGATGTACAATTTATATAAGAATAATCTGGCTCTATACATTGCTTTGTTGCGGCACAAAGAAGTGCCCTTTTAATTAAATATTTTTATTAATTTATTAATTTAGGTTTTATAAGGATCTTAATAGTGCCAAAAAATATTTAGTAATTAATTAGTATACGAAATTTATCCAAAAGTTTTTAAGGTAATTTTTTGGAATCTTTCTCCACAAGTGCAAAAATTGATTGGAATTTATTCTCCGAACTTTTAGCTTATGATAAAAGTTTTTGAGATAATTTTGACAAAAAATCCAAACAATGCCCCTAATTCTAAATAGACAATTTTACCATTTAAGTAATTTTCTTGTATATTCACTTTTATGCATTATATTAAAACCAGCTTCATACATTACATTATCCCATTTAACTAATTGAGATACCAAAGGAAGGTAGGAATAAGTCCCTTAAATTAAATAATACTTTTTGAATAGTCAGAAAAACTTACGAAAATTAGTTGCAAATTGTATACTGTGGACTGATGCTGGAATTAAATAGTTTTTATTTGGAATTATTTAAAAGAGAATTGAAATTTGAATCGGATAGAAATAAATATCGAGAAGTTGGTTGGTTTGTGAAGGATTGTTTTTAGGCATTAAAAATTTGCTTACATACAGTGCTTGGATGCTCGTACAAAATTCGTATTCGTTCCTCGCATACCAAGTACGAACAAAAAATATGTTTATTAGGGGGGAGGCCAAAATTAGGGATGGTACGAAGTATGAGTAAGAGCTATAATGAAAGTTCCAAGCAATAAGAAATAACATATCTTGATTACCAAAAACTCTTAAACGATTCTCGATCTCCAACCAAAAATAATCAAATAATCGTCAATATTTTACCTCCAAAGAAAATAGCTTCGGATATTTTCCCATCTTTAATACCCTCAAAGACTGGGTCTAGGGATTTTGCTTCATCAATAACTATTGAAGTATCCATGTAAATGAAAGTATCATATTGTGAATATATTTCCTTTAATCAAAAAAAATTTAGAAAATTTTAGAAAATATTTTATATTTACAGCTAAAATAAATATTTTCCAAGCATAGGCTCTTGGTGAATGGATATCCTCCTTTATAATATTCCAATCAAATTTTCTCCATTCTAGTAAGCAAACAGAATTTATATCTTCCATCTTTTAATAATTAAATTTAAAAAAAATATTTTTAAGGAATTAGGGGGGAAGAGGAATTGGGGAAGATTCAAGGCACTCTCTTTTCTCTCTTTCACTCTCTTTTTAGAATAGAGAGTGAAGAGGAATTTAATTAGCACTACAAGGCGCTACAGGGCAACCAAGGCCGAAGATCCCTCAAAAAAAGTAATTCTTATACCTTTGGGTAATCCCTACATCCACATTCCGAATTCAAAATGAATGTCAGAAATTATTCATTCAACAATTAATTTAATACTAGATCTTATATACCTAAATAAAATAAATATTTCCGCCTAAGAGTTTTAAAGGACCCCTTTATATGTACATTAAAAATAAATTTATTAAATACCGTAAATCCTCTAAAATAGGCCCCCCCTAAAATAAGCCCCCCCCTCTAAAATAAGCCCCCTCTAGAGGTCGATCGAAAAAAATAAGCCCCCCCCCCTCTAAAATAAGCCCCCTTCCCCATAAAATTTTTAATTGATGATTAATTGTTGTGTCCCCTCAGTTGAGTCTCAATGGAGGGATATAGAAGGATTAGAAGTGATTAAGAGAGTATTTGGAAGATTAAAATTAGAATATAAAGGGATCAACGTAGATATCGAGGGATTTGAAGCGATTAATCATGATATCGGAGGATTTGTAGGTTTAATTAGATATATAGGGATAGTGAAGATTAAGGGTAATTAGGACGGATCTCGCGGGGATTAAGAGGGATTTCGGTAGATTATGAGAATAATAGAGATTTCGTTGATTAAGAAGGATTTCATTGGATTAATAGTGAGTTCATTAGATTGAAATGGTTTGAACTGATACGGAGATATTCGAACATTTGTAGGAATATCCTAGGATTAGGCCGAAAGTCATGGATCTCTAAAGATTAAGACGGATATCGGGAAATTCTTGGATATATCCTCTAAATCCCATTGAATCCATTGATAACGCTTTTAATTTCTGCAAATGCTAAGATATCCCGCTTTATCCACCAACATCTCTTAATCCTTCAAATCACTTGATTTTTAAAAAGATTATCCTTTTTCTCAATCCTTTTTAATCGTAATAGACTATAGAGACTTAATGGGATATATACAAGGAGATAAATCTAAGACATTTTTGAACTATCTCCAACTTAAAGGCATATCTAAGATGAAAGATCAATTGAATGAGTACTTGATGAGTTTTTGGACATTGATTACAGACTTAGTATGGGATGAATTTTATTGAATTTTAGAAAAATATTTTCTAAATTTCTGGTAAAAAATTTTAGTTTTTGGAAAATTTAGACATCGAAAAAAATAGGCCCCCCCTCCAAAATAAGCCCCCCTCTAAAATAAGCCCCCTCTGGAGGTCGATCGAAAAAAATAATCCCCGGGGTTTATTTTAGAGGATTTACGGTAATTAACTATATTTATTACCATAGTCTTATTTTCACTAATCCCTCCAAGATCATAACCAATTATTTTTTGAGAACATCCAAATTGTTTTTTAATAATATATAAAAGTTTTCTCAACGATTCAAAATATTTAACGTTAGAGCCGGTTACAATTGTGAACTCTTTATCTCCTGGCTTCTTCACCTTTTAATTTAACAAAAAAATTATTTCACATATATGTAGTTTAGGGCTTTTTTATACACATATTTTAATTTAAATTTAAAAAAAATCAACCCCTAATTAGAATAGTCACTTTGTAAAAACCTAGTACGTTCAAGTTATAGAAGTTGTGTTCTTCCGGTTTCAGGAACTATGAACTGCCAAGTTTTGGACTGCCCAAAGTTGGAACCACCAAAGACTTGTGAAAAAACAACTAAGATTTAAAACTCCCTATCTAAGTAATTGTTGTACGAAAATTAAACCGGGGGGAGGGGGGGGGTATACAATCTAAAAGGATATTATTCGATGCCCCGGTAGCTCAATGGTAGAGCTCCTGTATGTTGTGAGCGAAAGCGCCTAGCTATAACTACGAGGAGGTCGCAGGTTCGAATTCTGCCCGGTGGCTATACTTTTGCTAAACTCTTTCTGTATGAACAATTTAATTTTAAATTTTAACTAACGGGTATTTTTTGTTGAATTTTGTATTTGTCAGCAAGTTTGTATGTATGAAGTAAAGGTAAATGTTTACAATCAAATGTTTTTCCACTCATTAAATTTTCAGTTAATTTTTCGTTTGTTTGGACAATAAATGAATATGCCATTTTCTCTCCACAACATTCTAAACTCCATTTTGTATCGTTTCTAATTTTTTAAATAAATATTGTTATAATTGTTAGTACACAATTTATATTAAAGATATAACCGAGATTCTCTCGATTACTTCAGAAATTTTTAGTTTTCCTAAACAAGGATGTGGGTAATTGTAAAGAAAAGATATTTCATTGTTTTTCAATGAAATTTTTGCGGATTGTGAATTTTTCTGTTCACAGTTAATCGCAATAGACGTCTGAATAGGACCGATCTTTCACGTTACTCATCCCCTTTTCTAGACTTTTTTTGGAAAATCCAGGAGAAACATTAAAGGAGACTGGCATTTGTTGTTTTAGACTGACATTTATCATTTATTGTTTTCCCATAAATAAATTTATGAGAAAAGATCTCGATCGAAAATCACGGTTATCAAAATCAAGAATTTTTGGAGATCTCAATTCTCGTAAGACACTACCAATCCGGTCTCTAATGGGAAATTCTCTCCTTTTATTTTTCCCTTTTCCTTAAATAACTAACCGATTTTTCTCATTTTCAATACATTCTTCCCACAAACTTTTTCTTTCAAAAATTAAATTCGATGTACTATTATTTAAATTTTTATTTAAAAAATTTTGAGAATTAATAAAAATATTTTTATTTGGCCATTTTTGTATTAAAAAATGTAAGCAAAAAATAAAAGTTAGTAAAAACAATAAACAAAAATATTTTGCTGAATATATTTTATTGTTTGAAATAATTTTTCCATTTAAATTATTTAATGGAATATAATACATTAATTTTTGTATTTAATTTGGAAATTAATTTTAATTAAATTTAAATTTTAATTATTAAATTTAAAAAATTTTTGGGAGGGAGAGAGAGGCCTAAACGATTTTTAGCGGATTTTTATTTTTTAGACAAAATAAAAAAAAGCTTTTTTGAGGGAAAGAAGAATTTTATTTATAAAAGAAGCAACTTTTGCTATTAAATATTTTTTAGGTAGAATTTTTTTATTTAATTATCATTTAATAATGTTTAGGTATAAAAATTGCCTTTAATGTTTACCCAACTTACTAAAAATAAATAAATAAAATAATCTAATTTTAGCTTTAAAAAAATTTTTTTTTAATTTATGGCTATAGTTTACGTTCAATTTTTAAATAATTTAAATATTACAGAGATCTTGCGTAATTTTATTGGAATTTTTTTTAATTTTTTTTAAAATTTATATTTTATTTGTCTGCTTTTTTAAATTGCCCAGTATATGTAAAGATGGCAAGCCAACACATACATACGTATTCACTCAAACCCTTCTACTAAATAAAATATATGTATATACCAGGGATGTGCCGAAACAGATTTTAAAAGGCGGAAGGCGGAATGGCACACCTCTGGTATATACCATAAATCTTCTAATAGAAACACACCTCTAATATAATCAAACCCTATGAGAGGATCGAAAAATAAAAGCACACCTCTAATTGAAGCACACCCTATAATACTATAAGCACACCCCTAGTATACCGCTGAAAAAGCACATAGGTTTCCCGTATTAAAATACGGATAATCCCGATTTTTTAGACCCATTATCCGAACACGGATTTTCAAAAAATTTCTTTATAAAAATTTCGCAACAAATAAGCGAATTAGTATAAAATTGGGAAATAGCGGGTTAACACACAATAACTACAACAAAGGTTGTTGAGGTACATCAAGAGGGATATTGTTGGTAGATTTGGAGAATTAGCAAAGGATACAAAAGGTTTTTAGGGGTTTAAGGGGAAATCGGAATATTAAAATGCTATCGATTTAGAGGGGTTAGGAGGGATATTGCCGATTTGTCGTATTAGCAGGGATATTAGGGGTTTGGGGACGAATAGTGATATTAGGGGATTTGAATAGATAAAGTTGGAAATCGTGGAGATATGTGAATAAATGAATTATCAATGCATTTGATGGGATTAAGGGGGGAGATATCGAATATATTTGTCAAGCGTTCCTCAGTCTCGCCAATCCTAGTCTGGCTCCTTGAGATCGGGGCTTGTTCCTTTCAGCTCGGAAGGTAAAAATTTTCGAAGTAAAAAAATTTTTGTGCTGGTTGGCAAGATTTAATTTTTGTTTTTTTATGTAAGGGTAAAAATTTTTTTCAAAAAATTGAAAAATAGATCGAAAAGTACAAGCATAGTCTCAAATACATTATAAGCACACCCTACGAGGGGATCGAAAAATAGAAGAACTGTGCTTCAATTAGAAGATTTACGGTATTGTGAGTTTCTGAATCCCAAAAAAAATTTTTTCCAATTTTTATTTTTAATCAATACAAAAAATTCTAAAAATGTTTATTTTATTAACATGGACCGGTAAAACTCTTCGCGAGTTTTAAAACAAATATGAGAAATCAGAGAAGAGATTAGCTATATTAAAAATTGAATAGAGGCATTTTAGAAATTAAATTTTTAGTAGGTTTAAAAGGATTTTTTGTTCCTCAAAAAAAATTTTTTCCTGAATTTCATCCCAAATGCCTTTCTTCAATAAACACTAACAAATAATAAGAGATTTATTTATTTATAATTAATTTATAATTCTTTTCAAGGAGAGTCTGTAGTAGAAGTCAAAAAACGATTATTAAAGCTATCTAAGGTAGACGTCATAAAGGTGATTTTATTCCTTAAAAAAATTTTTTTTAATAATTCTCCCCCTTCCAAATACTTACTTTATTGTATTTATCGATCCCAACATTTTGTCTACATTATCCATTTTATTTTTTGTTTGCTCAATTAAATCTTTCATTTCATCATAAAATCCACTAAACACTTTTCTAAGCCCTCCACAAACTCCATTCAATTCTTGTATAACTTGTTGTTCACATTGACCGGTGTGAATACTTTCAACTTGACGAAGACTTGAAAACAAAAAATTTTTGAAATTAATTGAAAAAAAATAACCGTTGTTCTAAATGTTGTCTAAATTGACTTTTAAGACGCTCCTCTTTAGCTCCATTATCCCATCGAAGTCGTTCAAAACAATAAAAACCGGCAACGGCACCAACTCCAGAAAGAATCCAACGCCAATCAACATTTTTATAAACCTGAAAAAAATTCTTTTTTTTATTAAATTTAAAGAAAATTAGAAACTAAAATTAAATTTATTTAAATCAAAGACTAAAAACAAATTATAGAAAGGTCAGCCAAAATAAATCAAAAATTGAAAAATTATTTAAAAAAAGTAAATTTTCCAACTAACTAGAGCCCAAAGGCGTAGTGACAGAAGACCCGAAGACAAAAGACCCACAAGGAAAAAATTTTTATTAAAATTAAAATCCACAGCAGCAAAACCACCCAAAAGACCACAGGTAAGGAGCAGGGCTGCACGCAATTGGAAAAAAAATTCCGCAACTCGCAATCCGCAACTCGCAATTTTATTTTAAAAATCCGCAAGCGCAATCCGCAACTCGCAATTTCAATTTTAAAATCCGCAAACGCAATCCGCAACTCGCAATTGCGAAAACCCGCGCAATTTACGCAATCCGCAACTCGCAATCCGCAATTGCGTGCAGCCCTGGTAAGGAGCCAATATGAAAGCCCCATTGAATAAAAATAAAAAAAATGGTTTTGAGTCTTTTGTCTGTGTGTCTTCTGCGGCGACACGGAGCCCAACTTTTCCCAACAATTATTCGAAGAAAAACTCACTACAAGTCCAGCAATTGTTACAACAACAGAACCATTAACCAAATAAGTTGCCGATTGAACCAATAAATTTGCCAAAAACATATCAACTTCCTGTTTATTTGGTTGATGTTGACTACTAGTTCCTGCCCCAATTCCAGAACTTGAACGAGGAGAACCAAGTTGCTTCAGAAAAATCAAATTAAAATTAAAAAAAAATTGAAAAATTTTACAAGAAAATTCCTGTCAATTGCAGTTATTGGCTGCCCACGAGTTATTGAAAGAATTTTTCGTGCAATACTTTCAATTCCCAATGAGAAACGAAATTCCAAATCTTCATGGAAGTCTGCAACCATTTTTGAACAATTTACTGATATTACAAATTTAAAGGGTAGTTTGTAAAGCCAAATTTTCTCTAGTTCCAAAGCGTGGGATTCATCAACAATTTGACGCATACAATCTAAAAATAATTAATTTTTAGATATTCAAAGTAAAAAATCAATTACTTAGCATTGCATTCTCCAACGTCCAAATTCGCGTAATTAAAGCTCCAGTACATTGATTTTGTAATTCTTCAGTAAGAACATCGTTCACATAAATGGCCAACTCCTTAAAATTTTAAAAGAAAAAATATTTGGATGAAATTTTACAAAATATAAATCTTTAAAAAAATACTCAAACCCGTTTATATTCCTGAATAGACACTGGATCATCTACAAATGGATGCTTAAAATGATCTACAATCGCTTCTAAACGTGCAACTTCTTCCTCAAAATCTGAAGAAACTTTCATATGAACTTCAGAACGCATTTTAGATTGTTCATCCGTGAATGTTCTCTCAAAACTTTTAAACTTTTTAGCACTTTCTTCATGTTCTTTTGATTTAAGTTGAAATTCAAGAGCTAGACGTTGTCTAAAAAGGGAAACAAAAATTGTAAATTAACAGAAAAATCCAACTTTTCATGAATAGCAGCGCCCATAGTTGCTTCCAAATTATCTAGCATAGCAAAAACAATTTCACGTGCCCGCCTACTGTGAGCATCAAACTTTGTATGAATTGCAGATTGCGAAATACATTCTTCAAATTTATCTTCGAATTTTCTGAATTCGCGAGCTCGCTGTTTATGACCTTCCAACAGATGAGCTGCAAATTAGTTAAAAATTTTTTAAAAAAATTTTAAAAACAAACGATTTCTGTTTAATTCCCCACGATCAAACAAACGCTGATCCAACATTTCCAAAGCAGAAATAAAAAAGAAACGTCCCTCAGCTTTTTGAGGAGTGCAAACTTGAAGTTCAGAAGAAAGAAAATGCACAAAACGGCGCTCGTGTTGGCCGCGAATCTTTTTTTAATTTTATTTAAATTTAAAAAGTTAAAAATTACTTGAGAACGAATTTCATCTGATTCTGAAGCACTCGCATCCCAACGATTACAAAGAATAAAAATATTTGGCTTTGAGAGTTTTTCACTGACACGGATGAAAAAATTCTTTTCCTAAAAAATTTAGAAAAAAATTTTCAGCAAGAAAAATACAAAAATTAACCGCTTGTGTTAAAGTAGCCTCAGAATTACAAACCAAAACAAAAACGTCAGCATCCAAACAATGTTTATCAATCCACCCATCAAATTCTGGACTTAAATCGACTCCGGGGCTAAAATTAATTTAAATAAAATTTTATCAGAAAATTAAAAACCTGTCAACAATAGCCAAATCATTCTGGAGAAGCTTTGAAGAGGATTTTGGGTAAATAATACGAATTAAAGAGTCAGTTCCAAGGGAAGTATTTCCAGTATTTCCTAATGCATGTCCAACTTTATGCTGAAAATTTAAAAATTTTCTTACTAAAGAATATTTTTCTATATTTTATAGAATATTTTCTTGTCAAGGGAATTTTTAGTCTAAAATCCAGAAAGTCACTTTCTAAATAGACCACAATATTTTTAAATAATCCAGGTGTTTACGAAAATATTTTAAAAGGGTACAGCCCAAGCAGGCGCGCGGCCAAGTAGGCGCAAAGCCATAACTTGCTTCAAAATTTCCAAATCTTTCAAAATTTAGTATTAAATGATTCCTCTCGTCGAGCTAAAGAGAATGGTACCAAAATTGAAGTTCAGAAAATTTCCAGGCTTTGCGCCTACTTGGCCGCGCGCCTGCTTGGGCGTGTCCCATTTTAAACAACTTAAGATTTCTAAAATTAATCCAAACAAACCAAATCTCCAATAGGAATTTTCTGTTCCTCCGCATTTTCTATAACAAAATATTTTTCATTTTCCTGCCCACCCTCAATTTGTAAAAAACAGCAAGTTGTATGTCCCATTCCTTGAGGAAGTATTTTTGAAGACAACATTGCATTAATAACGCTGCTTTTTCCATTACTGGTTCTAAAAAATTAAAAAAATTAAAAATTAATTTAAACAAAAAAACCTTCCAAAGAAGACAACTTTCATTTTGTCACGCCCAACCATTTCTTTTATTGTTTTAATAGAATCTAAATAACGCCGAACTTCAGAAAGTTGTCTGGGAGGCACAAATTTTTTGTTATCAACATCGAGTTCTAAAAAATTAAAACAAAATTATAAAAAAAATTAATTGAAAAAAAACTCGAATAAAAATTAGACATTTCCCCCATACAACTCCCAATATCATTGTAAATATCAGACATCATTTTCTTTGCCTCCCCGAAACGCTGCAAAGGTTCATTGTCCGGCTTTTTCAATCCTTTGCCTTAAAATTTTATTTAAATTTATTTTTTAAAGAAAATTAACCTTTACGTTCAGCCCCAGCACTCGCTGTTAAATGAGATATTGTAGCGGCCATTTTTATTCAATTAAATAATTTAGAACTTAAAATGAAGTCTAAAACTAAACTTTAAAATATTTTAAATTCTTAGACACAATTAATTAAAAAAAGGGAGAACTTAAGACAATAAACGAGAACAATTGTTCATACATGACGTAAAATAAAAGAAAAATGATAAGAAAAATTGCTCGAGATCAAGAACGAAAAAATAAGAAAAATAAAAAAAATTTGGGATAAAATGTCATTTTCTAAAAAAAATAAAAACATTTTGCCAAAAATATTTTAATTTAAATTTCTTTAAACAAAATTATGAAAATTTCGAAATTTATTCTCCTTTGTTCACCAAACTTTAACGAAATTGGTTGATTGAAGGTGTCGCGTGTCATTCTCCGTTGTATTCTTTCTTTAAAAACAAATCATAAAAATGTGTAAAAGTTTACATTTTTCTTCCATTTAAATTTCATTTAATTTAACCTTTATTTTAAATATTATTATATTTATTTTTTAAGATAGAAATCTTTTTTTTAGTAAGAATTTAGTTTTTGCAATTTTTATCTCCTTTTTATAAAAAAATTTCCATTTAATTTTAAAAATCAAAATAATTATTTAATTACATTTTCTAGCCCATTTTTCATAGAATTTTTTACAATCCCCAATTTTATTTAATATCCATTTTTATTTATTTATATTTAATGTTTAGCTTATTTTATTCCATATTTTCAACAACAACGAATTCATTCTCTCCCCCATTAAAAATTTTAAACTCTTCAAAAAATCCCAGAAATATTGAAGGAGGGAATGCACTTTTTATGGATGTATTATTGGAGGAAAGCACTGAGGAGATTGTTTTAAATGACGCCGAATTACAATTTTATGGGTTAATTAGAAGACATTTGGTATGTTTTTTTTGAAATTTTATTTAAAAAAAATTTTTTTTATTCAGATATGCCTTATAGTTTTCACATTTTTCTATGCAATAAGCTTTTGTTTGATAAGATATATAAAGACTCGATCTGATAATGACGGTTATTTTTAATTTTGGTAATATTGAACCTGACAGACCCCATTTCTTCCTCCCCAAGTTTTTTTCCTATTTATCTACAGAATGGTCAGTTTTTCCCTTTCTTCCATCCCAATTGTCCTATATTTTGCCCAATCAAAAGGAATTAATTTTTATTTCCTCTTGGATTGAAGGAAAATTGAAGGAAGAAGTCTGACCTTTCTACAATATATAGGAAGAAACTTGGGGAGGAAAAAAGGGGTCTGTCCGGTTCAATATTATGTTAATTGTTTCTTTAAATAAATATCCCTTTTCAGAACTTTATGCTGGAGATGAAGATTATTATGTTTACCGCATCTCGTATAATTTTTTTGAAATAATTAGTTTTTTTATTTTAAAAATTTTTAGTACTTGGATATGTGCAAATTCCCTTTCAATTTCTATCGGAGCTGTAACTCTTTTACCGTTTTCTGTTTTGGGCGCCGAAGTGTTGCAACTTTATCCTGATAATTTTTATTTAAAATGGCTCAATTTTTCTTTAATCAATACACTTTGGGCTTATGTATTTTTATTGAGCAATTTGTCTTTATTTGTGCTGCTCCCTTTCTCCTATTTCTTTATTGAGGTTTTTTTTCAAATTAAATATTTAATTTTTGTTACTAATGTTGGCGGTTCCTAGGAAATCTTCGGTTATCCGGTCTTTTTTCAGTTCCGGATAACCGGAACCGCCAACCTTATTTGTTACCTTTATTAAACATTTTAAAAATCTCGTAAATTTTGAATTCCCAAAAAATTTTTTTCATTTTTAGTCTCAAGGTTTTAGCCTAACCCTTCGTCTGCAAACATTGTCAGGCTCAATTGGACATCCTTTACTTGCCAGATTTTACGAGGCTTTAGTTGTTTGTTCTTTGGTTCTTGTCATCCTCGTTGGTATTGCTGATTGTCTACATGCACATTTATTTGGACGGCCGTCGAGAATTTGGTTTCTTCAATTAAACATTTTAAAAATTAAAAGTTATTAGAATTTCTTTAATTTTCCGTTTAATTTTGTCGATTATTTTTGGGCTAACTTTTTCATTGTTTTTGTGACTCGTCTTGATTTTGCATTAAAAACTTCTAATGAGATTGGTCGAACTTTTTTGATTTATAAGCCCCTTTCTTTGAGTTTTCGCTTATTAGGTTTAACAATAATTAAGATGGATAATCATAAATTTAATTGTTTTTTTATTTTTTAGGTACACATTGTTATATTTTTCTTCATTATCAGCACCTCTTCTCTATTCATTAGCTTCTTTATTGGGCGTTTTTCTTCTGTTGCTTTCTGTCCCATTGGGATTTGCTCGACTTTTTGATATATTCTCATTAATGTTGATGACAAGGAATCAAATAAGATTAAAATCTGAAGGAAAACGAAAAAGTTTGGACGAGCCTTTTGATTTGAATGGAATTTACTTTGACGCTATAAATCCTGAAAGGTTTTTTTCTTTTAAATAATTGGGGATTTTAAATTCCACATGGCCCATACTAGGGAGAGGGAATTGAGAAAAGGAAGGAAATTACAGCCTTCCAAAATTCCCAAAATTTTATATGACTCTCCCTCCTTTTTTTGTATGCCCCCCCTCTTCCGTAATTTTTCTTGGCTACGGGTCTGACTTTGTGATCCTCTTTTTCTTTCAACAGTGTTAAAAATTTCACTATGTTAAAAATTAAAATACATTTGAAAAGTTTACAGAACTTTTTAATAATTTTTCTCTTTTAAATAATTTTTTTAATTTTATTTAAAATCTTAAACATTTCCAGATTGCAACAAATAACTATCGCCCGTAAAAACAAATTTGGAAAATCCTCAACTAATCAATATTCTCTTCACAATGGTTACCACCAACAACGAGATTCTATTCAAACAATAACGAATAATCAAAAAAATTTAAAATTAAATAAGTCAACAAAAACAAAAAAATCAACAACAACTTCAAGCATTCCCTCCAACAGAAAACTTTCAATAAATTCTCATCCAAAAACAAAATTATTTTTAATAAAAGAAATATTCTCTAAAAATGCGGCTATAGGAGGAAAAATGTTTTCAACATTTTTTGTGCTCATTTCCTATTATTTAAGCAATATTAAAAGATTTATTGATTTTCTCAAATATCCATTGATTATGTTTATTCTTTTTGCTTTAACGGTTAGTGTTTTTAAAGAATTTTTTTTAGAATTTTTTGATTACTAGGTTTGTTCCTCGTCCCCGAAAGTAGGGGAATTTGAGAGAAAGTCGGGGAATGTGAGGGATCGTCCTCATCTCCTCCCCCCCCCCCCCCCCCCCCGTAAAAAAAGAAATTTTTTCACCGTCCTCGTCCTCCCCCCCCCCCTCTCCCGTGACGCTACCTCCCCGAAAATTTATGTATCCCTTTGCCCCCCCCCCTGTCGGGTATAACCCTACTGATTACTCTCCAAAATTCTGATTTTTTTAAAATTAAACAAAATTTAAACAAAAATTTTTAAGGTTATTTCTATTTTAATGGTTATTTGTAATACACTTCAACTTTTATTTGGTTTCCGCCATTTGCCAGCATATGTTCAATATGTTGAAGAATATAGACATACTTTAGGAATTTTCGGGGCAATTATAGAAGTCACAATAATTTTGTAATATTTTTTATATTTTATCCTTTTTATTTAAAAATTTACTAGATATATTATGTTATCTTCTTTAATTGGCCTCTATTCAATTCCTTTTATTAAACGAATTTATCCTCATAGAGGAAAAACATCCCTTACATCGATTATAATTAATTGTATGTTGATCTCAATTCTCAGTGCTGCTTTGCCTATTTTAGTCAGAACTTTGGGTAAAAGAAAATTTTTTATTTTTTTAGTTTTTTTATTTAAAGGCATTACAACTTTTGATTTGTTGAGTGGATATGGAAGAATTAATTGGATCTCAAATTTATCTCTAGTCCTTAGCTATAATATTCTTTTTGCTGGTGCTTCGATTTACTGCATAATATATAAATTTACTGGACCAGTTAGGAGGGAATTGATAAGACGGTACTTTTATTATTTATTAAAATAAAGGGTATTTATCGTCATATAATAAGGTTGGATAGGAAAATAGATCACTGTGTTGACTAAAGATCTAACTGACAATGAGCGTCGTACGAAAATCGAGATCTCGTCTCGGTCCGGTCTCTAGTGTTGATGGTATCCCTTTCTGGTGTGCAAAAAATATTATACAAACCTTTAAAAAACATTTTATGTTCGGGTCACAAACTCCCCTTGCAAGACTTAATTAATTAAGATAGCTATCCTTTCATAAGTAAAGATAAATAATTTAAAAGGTTCTTAATTTTCTTCCTTATTTTTAGGGTCTACACAATTGTAAATAGAAAACGTTTTGATTATCCTGACGAGGAAACTTCTATTTTTCCCAATAATGCTGTTTTTATTGACCCTTTAAAAACAGAAGTCAAATCTAGAGCTTTTATTGAATCTAGTAAAAAGAAAAATGATTAATTTGTTTTTTTGATGATTTTCGATCTCTTTATTTAAATTTATTATTTTTATATTTTAATTTTTTGACACAAGAGAATTCTATTCACTGAAAAAATGTGCAAAGACAAAATATGTGTGTAATCCATTTTATTTTTTAAAAAATACATACATATTGAAATAAATTTTATTTTTTCTGTGTAATTTACTGACTTTTTAATTTCCTGGCACTTGACACTGAAGAAAGCAAATTTTTCTTGCTTTGTAAATTTTTGTAGTAGGACTTGAAATTATTGCTAGAGAGTCATTCTTGTTTTCTATCAGCTTGCTTAGTAAGCATAAAAATTTTCCGCGAGTCGCCAAAAAATGAAGAAATCTGCTTGTTGACCTTTAAAATTTCAAAAATTTTCTCCTGCGGGGCTGGAATAGAGAATAAACTTTTATTATCTACTATGGTTGCGTTGCCACCGCGTCCTTATTTATCACCAGACAATGTTCTTTAATAAAAATTCCGGATATCCTGGGATTTCGGATTCGATATATAAAAAATGCCAAGTGAAAACTAATTTGGCTCTAGTTTAGGACATGCGTCCCAAAAAATGTCCCCCTAAACTAGAGCCACTAATTTTTACTCGTTTTTAATTACCTATTCATTTTTTAAATTTGACATTTTTTGTTTTTTAAATTGTTTTTTTTAATTTTTAATGTTTAATTTTTAAAAATTAAATTTTCACGTGTAAATTTAACTTTACACTTAAATTAGCCGAGTGCAGAGGCCGGATGGAGGGAGAGGGGGGATGGAGGGAGAGGGGGATGGAGGGAGGGAGGGAGAGGGGGGATGAAGGGAGGTGGAGAGGGGGATGAAGGGAGATGGGGGATGGAGGGATAGGGGGGATGGAGGGATAGGGGGGATGGAGGGAGAGGGGGGATGGAGGGAGAGGGGGGATGGAGGGAGAGGGGGGATGGAGGGAGAGGGGGGATGAAGGGATTTAAAATTAAAATTTAAATTAGCCGAGTGGAGGGATAGGGGGATGGAGGGATAGGGGGAGGAATCTGTCGATTTTTAAAGTGTATTCGTGGCAAAGTAAAAAATTTTCCTATACATACATTTAATAAATTTATTATTGCCTTTTAAATTTTTTTTTATTTTAGTTTTTATAATTTTAGTTTAAATATGTATTTAGCATTTAATTATGTCGAATTTTTATGGCATTACCTACTTTTTCTTGAAATATATGAGAAGCTTAAAAGGGATTTATTATTATTTTAAGACCTTTTCAATCTACATATTTTTGCGTTTTTGCAATCCAAAATACTCTTTTGAATGCTCTTAACGTTTATTGTCTGGGAAGTTATGAATCCATTAAGCACCGCAGGCGCAAAATTTTCTGATTTTAGGTTGTCCACTCAACAGAAATTTACGTTTTTGATGAAAAATTTCCTCTAAAAAAGTTCCATAAGTTCCACTACTGTTAAACCCGTTTTTTGTTGTTTTGCAATCTATGTATAAATGTTTTCCTTTTTTGTCACCTAGAAAACCATAAATC